ATCTCCTTGATATGCCACCCTTATCCCATGGTACACCTCTCCTTGATATGCCACCCTTATCCCATGGTACACCTCTCCTTGATATGCCACCCTTATTTCTTCATCAAAATATTTTCACAGAATAATTTCAAATAAACCGCAGCCATTAAAATTATTATTAATACAAAATCATTTCTTTCAAAACTTCATTTTTATGATAATATAACATTTCTCATTGAAAACACAACATTACATCAAATCCGGTCAATCTTGACTTAGCCGGACTTCAAATCCGGTCAACTATCCGGTCAACACATAGCATAAGCTTTATCCGGTTAACACTTAGAATTAATGCCAACTTTGTCCGGATAACAAGTCCGGACAACACACCGCATAAGACTTGATCGTGATTTAACACTTGGAATCAAAATCATCTTTATCCGGATAACAAGTCCGGTCAATACCCCGCTCAATACTTAGCCGATTTAAAATAATCCGGCCACCATTTGGTCGTATTCCTACTTCTCAGTGTAAAAAGATAATCAATCTTACCAATCATAGCCYGATCAACACTTARTCGGTTTAAGACAATCYGGACAATACATGGATTAACCTTTGTCCGATTTAAAACAATCCRGACAATACATCGATTAACCTTTGTCCGGTTTAAAAACAATCCGGGCAAGCCTTGTCCGATTTAATACCCGGATAAAACACTTAGAAYAAAAGACTRATTTYTTTCCAAAATAAACAASACTCACATAAAACCAGTAATAATTTTATGCAAAAGAGTTTAGAAATCACTCACCTTATCAAGCTTTTGAAATCAAACACTTGAGATCAACTTGAATCTCCAAACAGAAATAATCCGGCCAACTCTCTTCTTTCTTTAAATTGCACAACTTATCAAAATAGCAAGAAGAAGGAATATGGAGGTTAAGCCCTCCTTTTATACTTTCCTTTTAGGGAAAGTCGGCTAACTTCACACAGCCACAGGCATGCATGCATACATACACTATGTATATATATATATATATATAAATATATATATACACACTTATCTCAAGCACAAATACTATGTGTATATATATATATATATAAATATATATATATACTTCCACATATGTATATACACATAATTTTCACATACTATCATGATTAAACGTATCAATTTATCATGCTATCACGTAATCATTTAATCAGATAATCACATATTAATTACCTTGGGTGATAATCAGGATCCGGTTATCACAATTAAATACATATATATGTATATGTGTTGGTCCCGTAAGGGTCTACAAGAAGAGAAACAATTTGTAGAAGAGGGGGATGAATACAAACATAATATTTTTAAATTTAAAATATATATTAATAGAGAAGATCAATACAAATTTTACAAGATTGTTTGTTGAAAGATAAGGTGATAAAAACCTATCTAAACAATCTTTGGTTACACACAATGCTTTAGCAGTTACAAGAAAAGAAGTTGCTAAAAGAAAGATCATTTACTTAAACTAGAAGATGCTTGAAGTAAGAATTAAGTTAGAGAGAGATGCGCGCTCTCTGCATGGAGAAGAAACACTTCTATTTATACCCAATGCATTAAATGTCCATTTAATGCAATATGGTAGGTTTAGAGTGCGTGTCAAGCCTTAAGAGTGCGTGTCAAGCCTTAAGAGGAAGGCTTATCCTTTGCTATAGTGAATAGTACAAAAGCACTATTTCTGAGCAGACATCCTTACCTAAAGTTGGTGGACAAAGAGTCGACTAGTCGGCTCCGTACCGTAATAACTTTTGTAAGGGTATGGGTTTTGTCCTTTGTGTGCATAAGGACAAGACAACAACAATCGTGATAAGCAAGCTTCCTTTGATCGCTGAATGCTGGAATGACCTGAAGGTCTCATCATCATTCGCTGAAGTTTGAGCATTCTTCACATATATGTAGACAGACTTGTAATCACTGAATACCGCTTCAGATCACGTACTCGCCGGTCTCTAATCTTCAGTTTCAGTATTCGACGTTTGCTGAAGGTTCTTTGGTGTGAGTGTTGTCTTCTTGAAGTATTGTTGTCTCTGATAGATTTACAATGCAAGTTCTTCAGCGATCACTGAACATACTCAGTAAAGATCGCTGGAACTGAAAATACAGAAACACAAATACAACGTGAAAGAGAAAATAGATTATCATCAAATCACTGAGAGAGATGATCAACAATATGTGTGTGTTCAATTATTGTTATGTAAATAACAAATAAAGTCATATGAGATAAAAGAATCAAAAGAAAATATTAAGTGTAACCAACAAAAATAAATAGTCTAATTAATTTAATGTTTTGATAATAATTATATCAATAAAAAAGCAAAGTTTGAGAAAAAGAAAATTAGGATTGCGATGCCTAAAAATGTCACCTTATTGTTGGTGTTTTTTCTTATAAAATTACAAATGTGTTCGATTTACACCAAAAACAAATAATCAAGAGATCGAGAACGAGACCGAGAGTTTTAAAGCAATTGAATGAGAGATGAATGAGAGAACTTTTAATAACTCATGATGAATATCAGTTTGAATCTCACCTTGGTGAATAGGGAGAAGACATAGAGGTATGAGAGAGTGAAGACATAAGTAAAATGTATCAAAAGTATCTTGGAAACATGAAAAAAAAGATAATAATTTGCATTGATAACTTAACTATATATTATTTTGATTATAGATTAAGTAATTTTAAAACCAAATACATAAAATAATATAATAATAAATAATAGTACTATTTTGATTGGAATGATTGTATGCGTTCACACTGAGCAGAAACTGTGATGGTTGGATTACTTGTCAATGTAAATCCATGGAAATTTCTCTGCAATTTCCTCCCTCTATGATCAAGTAAACGGGAAGAGAGAGTCTTCATTCGTCGTCTTCCTTACTCTCTTTCTCTCTCTCTCTCTCCCCATAGTTTCTGAATCATAGTTTTACAGAGAGAGAAATGGCGTCTGGTGATGATGAAGATCAGTCTCAATTGAAAGGATTTGTGATCATCACTCTTCCTCCTCCAGATAACCCTTCTTTAGGCAAAACCATCACAGCTTTCACCATCCCTAACCCGTCACATCCACCATCATCACCACCACCACCACCACCACCAGCAGCAGGACGACCACCGTCACAGCCTCCAATTCAGTCATCATTACATCATGGAAGAAGAACCCTTTTCACACACCCAAGAAGAAGAATCTCTTGGACCCTTTCGGGTATCGCTCTTTTTGCTTTGCTAACTTTTTGTGTCACTCAATCCCCGCGAAATCATTTCAAATTAACAAGTTCGGAGCCTTCTAATGAAATTGATCGAGATGACGATGATGATCAAAGCCCCAATTCCTTCATCTTTCCACTCTACCCCAAATTGGGGTTTCGAGAAAAGTCAAAAACGAGAGATATGGAGGTTAAGTTGGGGAAATCTTCGATGTTCAGTTCCAAAGGTGCGGTGTTACCTGTTGATGATGGAGGTTTGCCCACCAAGGTTAAATGGGTATCTACAGTTAGCAATAGTGCCCTTTTGCCTGTCAATGAGGATGATCTGCGAGATGGGTATGTGTTATTTTTAACAAAATACTGATTAACTTTTGTATAATGGCAATGTTTCAAGGATTTGGGAATGGGGACATGGGTGCTTGATATTATGGTAGGAATATGATGACAATAGGGGTATGATTATGCATACAGGTGTGTATATCTAGAGGGAAGTTTCATTATGAACCCGAGAACCGCCCAAAGCACTCCACTTGTCCCTCTTCGCGATGAATGTTCATTATGAATAACATATTCATGGTGAATATGAAAGTGTTATTCATTATGAATCACACATTCACGATGAATAACAAGTTCATATTCATGATGAATATGCCCCCGTGTTGTGTTTCCCGGGTCCTAATCAATTTTAGGTTCTTAATGGAACCTGTTGTATATATAGAAAACCAAACAGATAAAAGGCTAAAGATGTTGAAAACCTACATTCGGAGTTCTTGGTGCACAAATGATGTAAAGAAAGAAGATTAGGATGTCAAATCTGTAATAAAAGCAAACAATCAAATTCGAAATTTGGGATGAACTTCTTTCCTGGTGTAATGCCATTAAGGGGATATGAACGACTTATTGAGTTCGTTAACACTAGTTTCAACTAGCAGATGTCCCATGGAGGATCGTTCAAGCAATATAGATGTCAAATTGGTAATGGCTAGTGGTGGTCAATGACCAATATGACAATGGCATTACAAAAGAGGCCATCCTAGATATCAGACCTGATGCATCTGATTTCACCAAGGCCATGTTATTATTTGAGCTTATTGAAAAAGCCCGGTTTTAGTTCGCCATAAGCTGGCTTTTTGAAAAGATACTTCAAAATAGTGTACTTTCATAAGCTGGCTTTTTGCAACCTGCTATCATAAAGTTTTCTTATTATAGCATTGTACTTTCATTTTTTTTTATTACAACAATGTATTTTCAAATTACATTTTATTAGGACATTACGTTAATCTAATGATGTGCATGTCCTAATAAATTAATTATGATGTTCATTTTAATTATGTCATATTGGAACCCTTCATGACCTATTATGTCTATTTGTTCGTTTTTGTAAAACTGTACAGGCTGTATTACACACAGATTAACGTTGGAAGCCCTCCAAGACCGTATTTTCTTGACATAGATACCGGTAGTGATCTGACTTGGATTCAATGTGATGCCCCATGCGCTAGTTGTGCCAAGGTAAGCTGTAACTAAAGTTAAGTGATTTACAAGAAGATTTAGAGTGGCCTTGGAACGGTTTTTAACAATCAAGGAGGTAAATAATTTCACATAGGCGATGATATGGAAACTAAACAAAACGAGGCCAGTACATCCCACCCGAAGGTGGGGTTGTTTC